AGCTAATGATCGGTCTGAGTAAAACACCTTTTTTATGGATTTTGGGTAGTCCATACAAGTGAGGTGGCTTACTGTGTTGTGGTGTTAGCAATGATCGCTCTTTTTCCAAAAAATAGACTTGGTGTTTTTCAAAGTCTGGTACAACTTCCTTTCAATTGATGCAGTAGGGTCTCCTACGATTTTTGTTTTTTTTTTCTGAAGCACCTCTTCGATCATCTGTTCGTAGAGATCAGTATCCATCACAACAGTAGCGTTTCCCTTATCTGCAGGTAAGATCTTGATGGTGTTGTCTCTACGTAGCCTGTTCAGGGCTCTTCGTTCTTCATTGCTGACGTTGGGAGTTGGAACTGGTTCTTGATCTAGCTGTTCTCTGATTTTCCATCTGAATTCTTCTGCCTCGATCTGATCCATAAGGAAACTGGTGGATTCTACTGCAGTTATTATTTCCAAAGTGGGCACAGATGTTGGTGAAATGGCGAAGTTTAGACCTTTCCTCAACAAAGATTCCTCTACGTTCGTGAGCGGGCGGGAATTCATGTTGATGACGTTGGTGGCTTCAACGTTGTCCTGTTCTCGTTCTGCATTTGGACATTGTTTCCTCACCAACTTTCCCCACTTCCTATTGTAGGTATTCTCCATGCCTAGTCGGATCTTCAAACACGTGCTTTCAATTTTGGCAAAGATTGGTCCATGATCCTCTTCCAAGGTCTCTCTTCTTATTTCTTCAAATCGTTCTATGGCATCCTGCATCAGAGTTGACCTCTTCCAACAGTGGTATTTGATTTGAGACCTCATCAGTGCTCGGCTGGCGCGTTCCAATATGCGTTTGGCTATCTCTCCTGGGATTGGCAATTTCAGCAAAAAACCTTTGGGTATGATGTTGTTATCTCTAGCTCTGCACAAGAAGCTGAGGTGAGTTTCTTCTTTGGTGAGCTTGACCATAGTCTTCTCATATCCTCGGAATAAGTCGCTGGTTCCGGGTCCGTACCAAGTATTCAACGTTTGTTTGAAGGTGGCTGACAATGTTTCGTGGTGTATTTCATTAGTTCGGACTTCCATTGTTTGATATAATAGAAATTGATTTGAAATTCCTTACAAAAATAAAAAGATCAACCATTCTTATTCCTCCGAGATCTGAATATTTATAGGTCATTCGGATGCTTTAACCTTCCACCTATCCCCTCTTTCCTCTTTCCTCTTTCCGCTTCATTGGTTTTAGCGGGAGATGACCGTTTGGCGGGAGTTGGTCGTTTTTCGCTTGATAAAAGGTTTCCATATGTAACGTATCTCTACACTAGCTTGACTAAATGCGTTGTTGGACAACACATACCCGGCTTCCTTGAATTTTCTCCTAAACCAGTGTTCCTCTATGTGGATGATTTCAGCTTGAGCCCATTTGATATTATGTTGATGAGTCCAAACATGCTCTGGTATTCCGGATTTGCTGGTTTCTCCTCGATGTGTGTGTTTCTTGTGCTCAGCAATGCGAATTTTCAATGGCCTCTTAGTTTCACCGATGTATAATTCTCCGCACTCGCAGGGTATCCGGTAAATGCAATTGTTGGAATCGCAGTCCGCGTTTGGTGACCTGGTTTGAAACTCTGGCCATTGAAGAGGCCCACATGAAGCCCCGAGTCTGGTTGAGATACGTAGACGACACCTTCATAATATGCAACCATGGGAATGCAGAACTAGACATTTTCCTGAAGCACATCAACAACGTAAGTCCTTCCATCACTTTCACAATGGAGAAGGAAGTCCACAACGAATTGCCTTTCTTAGACGTATTGGTGAAGAGGGCTGACACTAAATGGGAAACATCTGTATATCGAAAACCCACTCACACAGGACAGTATCTGAACGAGAGATCCAACCACCATCAATCGACTAAGAGAGGAATCATCAAGACTCTACTAGACCGTGCTTTCGAGCTCTGTAATACAAAGGAAGGTTTCGAAAAGAAATAGGCATCATCAAAAATGACCTTCAACGGAATGTTTACTCCATAGTGATGGTAGAACAGGCTTTAGCTAAAAGACAGCAAGAACTCCACAAGAAAGAGAAGCCACCACAGCCAGTACTTGTACTTCCCTACATCAGAGGATTATCGGAAAGGATAAGAAGGATTGGGTGCAAGTATAACATCAGGACCTGCTTCAGATCTGGGAACACTATGCGTAGCAGCCTCACAAAAACCAGGCTACCAAACGCGAACTGTGATTCCAAGATTTGCATTTACCGGATACCCTGCGAGTGCGGAGAATCATACATTGGTGAAACTAAGAGGCCATTGAAAGTTCGCATTGCTGAGCACAAGAAACACACAGAGCGAGGAGAAACCAGCAAATCCGGAATAGCAGAGCATGTTTGAACTCATCAACATAATATCAAATGGGCTCAAGCTGAAATCATCCACAAAGAGGAACACTGGTTTAAGAGAAAATTCAAGGAAGCCGCGTATATTTTGTCCAACAACGCATTTAGTCAACCTAGCGTAGAGATACGTAACATATGGAAAATTTCAGTTTTTTGTTTTAATAAAATTGTTATTTTTGGTTAATCTTTTTATTTTTTTCAGGGATTTCAAATCAATTTATATTATATTAGACAATGGAAGTCCGAACTGATGAGAAGACTTACTTACTTTTCAGAAGAGTGAAAATAATTTTGTAGAAATGCAATAAATCTATCTGCATATACTGTAATATTCATCTGTATCTATGACTCTACTTGAAAACTCTGTTATTTTTAAAATGTCTCATTGAGTAGACTTTTCTTGCAACTAGGTATAAAGTTGTATTTTAAAAAATTAAAAGAATGCCTAAGTGAATGTTCATTTTAAATTTGATATTATGATTAAGAAAGTAAACTGTGATTAGCACTATGATAATGACAATGTTGCATAAATTGGCCCTGAGTCATAATCAATAATGGGTATAACTATTTTGAAGGTCAGCAAATTGTTCTTAGTAGACATTGCTCTCGTAATCTTGTAGGAGGACAGAAATTCTTGCAGGTCGGGTCTGCCAGACATGAATCTCGACCAGGTTAATCATTTTCGACAGAAAAATTATCCAACCCCCACCAAAAAGTTTCACAATTTAAAAAAAATTGGAAATACATTTTGCAGGTCGGGTCTCCCAGACATGAATCTCGACAAGTATTATAATTTTCGCCAAAAAAAATTCCAACTCCCCATCCTTTGTGTATGGAAAAATTTCACATTCCCCATTAAATTGAAAATAAACCTTGCAGGTCGGGTCTCCCAGACATGAATTACCAGGTTGATCATTTTCGACAAAAAAATTCCAACCCCCACCCTTTGAGTATGGAAAAAACCTACACTCCTCATTAAATTGAAAATAAACTTTGCAGGTCGATAGAAATTATTGCAGGTCGATAGAAATGATTGCAGGTCGGGTCTGCCAGACATAAATCTCGACCAGTTTGATCATTTTGGACAAAAAAATTCCAACCCCCACCCTTTTGAGTATGGAAAAATCCACATTCCTCATTAAATTGAAAATAAATCTTGAATATCGACCAGGCTGACCATTTTCGACAAAAAAATCCAATCCCCACCCTTTGAGTATGGAAAAATTTCTGGCGATCTGCAAGGTTTATTTTCAATTTAATGAGTAATGTGATTTTTTTCCATACTCAAAGGGTGGATGTTGGAATTTTTTTGTTGAAAATGATCAACCTGGTCGAGATCCATGTTTGGGAGTCCCGACCTGCAAGAATTTCCGCCGACCTGCAGAATTTATTTCCAATTTTTTCAGAAATGTGAAATTTTTGGGTGGGGGTTCGAAAAATGTTTTCTGTCGAAAATGATTGACCTGGTCGAGATTTATGTCTGGCAGACTGGACCTGCAAGAATTTCTGCCGACCTGCATGATTATTTTCAATGAAATGAGGAATGTGGAATTTTTCCAGACTCAAAAGGTAAGGGTTGGAATTTTTTTTCTCGAAAATGATCAACCTGGTCCGAGATTCATGCCTGGGGGACCCGACCTTCAAGAATTTCCGCCGACCTGCAAAATGTATTTTTAATTTTGAATTGTGAAACTTTTGGGTGGGGGTTGGAAAATGTTTCTGTCGAAACTGATTAAAATGGTCGAGATTCATATCTGATAGACTCGACCTGCAAGAATTTCTGTCCTCTTACAAGATTACGACAGCAATGTATACTGAGAACAATTTGCTGACCTGTAGACCTGCAAAATAATTATACCCCTATAATAGACATATTATAAAGAACATTTGCTAGCAATCAGCAATTTTAAAAACTTACTAAATGATGGTTCAAAACTAGTATGTGGATTTCCATATTTTCACTTTAATACAATTCTCATTAAATTATTGGAGTCCCGGCCTGCTTCAACTTTGTAATTTTGAATTTAGTCTGTAGGGGGCGAATCTGTACGGCCACTATCAATAGATAATCTGTTTTTTGACTAGATGACCATGTGACTTTGTGTCAAATAGTAAATACACGCTTTGTATGTCGACTCTGTATACAAATATACATTATCCTACTAAGACAGATACAGTGCTCTAAGCTCTAACTTTCAGTGCTACCATCTCTTATACAGTAACTAAAACATTTTTAAATATTCTGATCTAACTAGAAAAAAATCTTTCTGTTCAAATAGAATTCAAGCAATGACAAACCGTTCTTCAATGAGAAATAGAATCTTCAAACAACCACAAGACCAAACAACGGCAATACCTATTGAAAAAACCAAAATCTACCAACACCAACTAGCTCAGGTAATCGGTGTTGTCAAGTTGTCAGAAAATTATACAAAGTTGAAATCAACATGGCTTTGTTAAAAATAAAAATATCGATTTCAGACAAAATCAAACAGTTTTCAATATTATTCAAAAGTAAAAAATCCCATTATTCTGAAAGAATCTAAAATAACCCCAATTCAGTGGAAGTAACATAAAGATAACTCTTGAAAAGATGATTCATGATTTGATATGGCAACCGTGTTTCGTTACAAGTTTTTGTTTATAAATAAAAGGAGTGAGTATCAAAAGAGAAGTTTGTTTTTGTGGTGATTATTGGATCAGTTGGTGTGATCGTTATAAATTTCTAATAGAGTATTTTTTTTCATTTGGTGCGTTCTATATTAGTGTCCTGATAAAGGTGAGGGAGTTTTTCCACTTTAACATTTTCCGATTAGAATTTTCAGTCCAGGAAAAATTTACTGATTGAAAAAATAACTGCCTACTTCTCATTATTAAATAAAAATAACCATAAACATTAAATTTGCAGATAACATTATGGCATGACCTTGAAAACTAAAACGTTTTTAAATGATTCATCTATAGCTCACTAATTCCATTTCTGGACTAAAGTGGGCTTGATAACTATCCTGATGATGAACTATAAAAAAATATTCACCTGACCAAGTAACATTATCTATCTAACATTGGCAGCCAACTTCATACTAATTTCCAAATAATCCTGTAGAAGGTATTTCCTGAACAGAAGCTAATTTTATGAAAAAAAAAATTCATTTAAACATAGATTTGCAAATGCATTGTTTGCAAGATACAGGATTAAAACTTTTTTGTATTGTTAATATTCCTTATAGGATTTTCGTGAAATTTGGTAATGTTATTTTCAGTGATAATAAGAGGTTCATTAGATACAAATTATTGAGTCCGCAGTACCTATGGAGGCTATATTTTTACATGAATATTTTCAGTACAAAGTAATGGAAAAATTATAAGTTATTCACATGAAACTTATTTTTTTATAGAAGTGAAACTTGACTCAATTTGAGAAATGATGAAAGTCATCACAACTAACATTAAAAGCTGTATTTGTAGTAAATTGTTACTATTAATACCGATAAGAAACATTTTTTATACCATTTACTATTTCTCTCAAGCATAATGAAACTAATAAATGTTCATTAACACTCAAGCAATTTTACTGGTTCCTGTTTTTAAAATAGTATTATTACGGATTTGAAACATCAGGAAGCTACAGAGAAATAAAAATTATTTGTGAGTACCATGAGAAACATTATAAATACTAATACTTCTTGAATTTCACTAGTTCGGACTTCCATTATCTAATATATAAAATGATTTAAAATCCCTGAAACAACTAAAAAAGGAGAATTAAAAATGAATAGCTGAAAATAACAATTATATTGAGCAAAAATAACCAGAAATGAAAGAATAGTGAAATGAAATACAACAAAAAATAAAGTATAAAAATTATAAAGAAATAAAATGAAACTAAAAATAAAAAGTTGAGAGATTCCAAGCCACGTTAGTTCACGACGTTTCGATTGTTAGTATCTACAATCGTCTTCGAGGACGAGGGATTTCAAATCATTTTATATATTAGACAATGGAAGTCTGAACTAGTAAAATTCATCATGTAACATTGTCAATCACCTTCAAATAAACTAATACTTCTTCTTGTTCACTAACACTATTTGGAATTATCCTATAAAATTTATTTACATTATTCCAGATGTGGAAATTAATCTTAACCACCTTTCTTTCAACAACCATTGCCATTCCTCCACAACCAGTTTTGTTCATTCAAAGAGAACCCCACCCTCTCTCTGATGAGTTCATCGAATCAATAAATAGGGCACAATCTACATGGACAGCCGGTCGCAACTTTGAAGAAAACATTTCAATGTCCCACATCAAGGGGCTTATGGGAGTACTTCCCAATCACAAAAATTTTCTTCCACCTATTATGAAGCATAATTTAGAAGGTGTGGAGATTCCCACAGAGTTCGATTCCAGACAAGAATGGTCTCACTGTCCAACCATTCAGGAAATTAGAGATCAGGGTTCATGTGGATCTTGTTGGGTGAGTATCCTTTCATATTTGGGGCTTTTTCTCTAGAATGAGATTATGTGTCCAGTATAGAGATCGATTGAAAGATTTATAACCTCATTCACTTATTTCAGTAGTTTTATTTATAATATGAATGTGGGTTCATCAAAGAATATGTCTGTTCAATTTTACTGAAATTGAAAAATTCAAAGTAACATTATATAAATATTCACATATATTCAGTGGGCATACTTTTGAAGACTGGCTGTAAATAAAATTAACTAAAAGAACAATTTGTTCAGGCCAGTCTCGACTCACACTGTAGGTTAATGGACTGACACCTATCAGAAAACAACTATTCCCCTGGCTAACATCACGAAGGGCGTTGGATTATATCCAACAGGTGTCAGTGCAGGAATCTTCACAGAAGTATTTTCTGCACATGCTCATGGAGATACAACTGCTGGAATTGATTTTAAATTATGGGAACGGGCACACTTGCCAGTCTGTATCTTTGTATCGCCAACAGTATATGCAGGAAATACTTCTGTGAAGATTCCTGCACTGATACCTGTTGGATATAATCCAACGCCCTTCGTGGTATTAGCCAGGGGAATAGTTGTTTTCTGATAGGTGTCAGGCCTTCCTACACTGTAGGTAAGTCGAGACTGGCCTGAACAAATTGTTCTTTCAGTTAATTAAATAAACAGTTTACAATTTTATAGTGATCATTGTATATTCCAATAGAATCATCTGGATTAGAGGATTGGGTATAAGTAGGTTGGGTTTATAATGAGTTCTTTCGTTTATTTATTTGTCTTTCCTTATGAGCAACAATCTTCAAAAGTCAATACTTATCTAAGAGTTAATGAGATGACATATGAAAAAATATCAGTATATTCAGGAAATCTAATATTCATTAGTCCAGATCAAAACGTTTTCTTTGGTTTCATCATGTGTGGGTCTTATCCATCATAAAATATATTCTCATAATTAATAAATTGATCGATGTAGCCATTACTACGTGGTAGGAAATCATAATGAAGAAAAGAGAATGAATGCAACAGAAGGAAATTCAAATAATAATAATAGCATACATCAATAAAGTAATAAATATCACTTGAGGTTTGTAAAACTGAAAATACTAATAACGACAAAGAATGAAGTTACCTCTTTAATTTGTTAAACATTCTTCTATGGTGAAGCAATTTCTCAGGATAAGGTAAGTTTTCAGCCATGATTTGAAAACTGATATATTTTTTGAATGTTTTAGAGTTATTTTCTTCAATGTTTAGATTCCAGACTTTTTTATTTTAAACATTTTGAAGGAGCAAGTCTTTTGATATAGTAGAGTAGCTGTTTTTCTTGGTTCAGTATAAACAATATGAAGAAATAAATTATATTGGCTGGTATTATAGTCAACAACAAATAATAATTCTGCTTTGATTTTTCTTTGTAAAGTTGTTATGAGAGACCAACTAGCTGAAACATATGTAACCTCTTTACAAATATTTATGAAATAATCAGTGAAGGGAGAGCAAACACGTGACTTGAAGTTCTTATTTGGCTTATTCATTTGATAAAATAGAAATCATTGACCCATGTGTAAACAGATTTCTTATAGATGAATGAATGCAGAAAATCATGTAGAATGATGATAATGATAATAATATCACACCCTAAGTTAAGGCGTGCCGCTGACCACCAAACAGCACTGCCTTGATAGGATACGAATGTTAGTGGCTGCTAAGAAGTCACTAGTGAGGCTAGCGAGAAGTATTGCGGAAAATCTTACTTTCCGCGAGAAGTATTGCGGAAAATCTTACTTACCGCGAGAAGTATTGGGGAAAATCTTACTTTTCGCGAGAAATCTCGCTTATTTCATAAGCCTCCATGTGTTGTAGACAATTTGCCGATAGCTGATCAGGTGGAATCCTTCTGGAAGGACATCTATGAACACCCGCAGCCACTCAACTCAGACACTCCAGCCCTAGCGCAGTTCGAAGCTTTCAGCAGAGAGCTTCGACAGCCTGAGCTCAATGAACTGCGCAACCCGATAACCCTGGATGACGTTCGAAGAGCCCTTGTGGATTCCAATGCTGCTCCAGGCCCAGATGGGATGGACACTTATTGGTGGAAAAAACTACCAAGGACCCACCGCCATCTGCCCAGAGTTTTCGACTCATGGCTGGACGGTGAGCAGACAATTTCCGATTGATTTGTCGAGGGACGGAGCATTCTCATCCCCAAAAGCGGAGATTTATCGATTTCTAAGAAAAACAGACCGACAACATGCTGAAATTCGTGATTTACTAGCACGAGTGTTCGTACGGAAATATGAACAGAGAGGGTCAAAGAGAGGAGTCTCTGGATGTAAGGAGAACCTGCTCATCGATAGATGTTTAACACAAGGCTCGATACAGTATAAGCGTAACCTCAAGCCATAGCTTGGATCAATTACCGCAAGGCATTTCATACATCGCGTGCATTTGCTCAGATGCCTTGCGGTACCTGAACAACTGATACCACTCTGGCGGACTCGCTTCACCATAGCATCTTGTCAAGCCAGAGTCCAAACAGGGTGGGTCACTTTCAGAAGGGGTGTATTTCAGGGCGATTCCCTGCATCTTACTATTGCTATTATCCGTTACGCTCAGGAATACTCAAAGGTATAACTGTGGCACCATCGGAAACCGGAGGCACAGGATCACCCATTTGTTTTATATGGATGATTTTAAACTTTATACTTCTGGAGAGAGGGATCTCCATCGATCCTCGAGGGTGATGAAAGAGTATACGCATGCTATCGGTATGAAATTCGGGATAGACAAATGTGCAAAAGTCCATCTCAAAAGAGGTCGAAGCGGGGACTACGTAGAATATGTGCAGCTTGTAGATGGAACTATTCTACACCATCTGGATGCCGGAGAAACGTATACTTACCTCGGGGTGAAACAACGCCAATCACAAAAGCTAACAGCAGTGAAGAAGTCTCTCCGCGGTAAATATCAGCACAAACTCCGACAAATGTGGTTATCGGAACTGTCGGAGAACAAAGTTGCTGCAAGTTGGAGCATTTCTCTTTAGGGCAGCTGCGTGAGTAGCTGATGAACTAAGTTTAGCTTTCGATACTGAACGAGGTGATCACAACTCTGTCACCAAGTCAAAACCCGTTCAGCAAAAGGCTTATATAAAAGCTGCAGACATCACCACACTTCTGCAGCAACACAAGGATAAGCCAATGCATGGGGTCTTCTTCAATGACATTGAAGACCTTGGCTTATTAAAGCGCGTGACTTTCACTTACCTCTGGTCGAGTGGGCTGAAGTCGGAAACTGAGGGTTTCATCATGTCCTTCCAGGATGGTGTCTTCAACACCTTAGTCTACTGCAGTCGCGTGATGAGTGTTGTGGTTCCTGACACAAGGTGCAGTGCCTGTCGCGAGGCGTCCGAAACCCTATTGTACTTGCTGTCAGCATGTCCAGCATATGCGCCCTCGACCTATATCCACCGACATAACGCGACCCTAAGAGTGCTTTATTACCACCTACGGTAGTCTTACGGTATTGACGAAACACCGGTGTTGCCCTACGCTCCAGGGGATATTGAATCCGTTGTGGAGAACGAGAAGTGCCAAATTTATTGGAACTATTTGTTCCCCACCCTCAGGCTCATACAAGCTAATAAGCCTGATGTAGTCCTTCACGACCATCACAGCAAGACAATAATTGTCATGGAGTTTTCAGCTCCTGGCGAGGGGAATATCGTCAGAAAAGAGGAGGAAAAACGGATAAAATATCGAGATATTCTCTCCGAACTCAGCAGAATATATCCAGACCACTCTGTCAAGATGATTGTTCTGCCTATTGAAGTCCTTGGAGGAATGATGCTCTCTCTACTCTCGAATCTCAAAATCATACCGGCTTACTGCACTAAGGCAAAAATCTTAGCCGGGCAGATGCAGTGTGGGGAGTGGTCGTTGGTTTATAATGCTGGCCCACCTTCACGAATGGATCGGGGCTGAGTAGTTCATAAACATATATTATTATAGAACTCGTACTCCACAATATACTGAAACTTATTCGAAGTTAACTCTGCTGACTGTGCTCTCAAATGCTATTTGACAGTTATGATATATTATAAACTTAGTTCAATACAAATATTTGGTGCGTGTTGCATCATGATATCAATTGTCGATTAACACCTGCAATTTGTTAAATTTGTGCGAAACAGTTTTCTCTTACTCCTAGTATTTGATGGCTATGTATTTCGAATCACGTTATCATACTCTGTTGTATCTTCAAAGTAAGTTCATGGGTGGAACCTCGTGTAGTAACTCTAAGTTCTGGCGACTATTTTTTTTGTTGTCTGAGAGCCAAGTACCTATCCTTTTCTTCCAAGGGTTTACGAAATCCCTTGTAGCTGTGGATCGGTGTACATTGGCAGCACGGAGATAATTGTAAGTACATAGCTCTCTGAACACAAGGGAAATTGTCCCTGAGGCAGTGAATTGCAACTATTTTACAAGTAGAATGGTTACATCAAACCTTGATTGTTTTCAAAGTTGAAGATGGAATTTTTTTCTTTCTTTGAGCTATTCTTTGAAAACTTCAGAAAATATCCTCGTTAGAAAAATTTGAAAAATTAAATTTTCCATTTATTTATGTACAATCAAAGATGAAGATAATTTTAGAAGAACCAGTAAAGCATTGAATCAATTTTGTTCAAATATTCCACTTGGTTTGTTCTCTTTACTCAAAATGGTATTTAATTTTTTTTACATATAAAAAAGAAAGTAATACAAATTATGAAATTATAAAACAGAAACAAAATTCAATTGGCGCTCCAGGGCGACTTGATTGATTCCAGTGGCGCATTTGCTTTTTCAGCTGCAGGAAAACCCAGAAAAACCTGCAGCACTACATCATCAGAAGATCTTCTGAATATAGAACCCTATACTATTGCTGAATACCTCAGCCATACTGTGTGACATAATCTATCTTACTTACTGTTTTTGCGATTATTCTTCAGAAATAAAGATATTTATTATTTTTATTATTATTGTCCTCTCTTTCATAGAATGAAATGTATGGTGTCTCCAAAATAGTTAGTTTATCAAATTGACATTGGAAAATTAGAAATAATTGCAAATTTAAAAATAAATTTTTGTGCAATACCGTTTTCTTTCAACTTTTTTTTTTTCAAAAATAGTTACAATAATTCGCTTTCAATAAAAAATAAAATTGTTTCATTGATGAAGCATTTTGCATATTTGAAAAAATGGTTCAATGCCTTATTCATCTTTTCTTTAATTGTTCATAAAGTGATGGAATATTTCATATTTTTCCAGCAAAAATCTTTTCTGAAATTTTCGAAGAATATTTCCAAGAAGAAAATATTGTCGAGGTTTTTATGTAAACCTATAACTTGTAAAAAAAAATTGATAATCAACAAAATCATAATTGTGAGAAAAATTGCGATAATTTTTTTTGCCAACTCAACCGTTATTTCAACACCTCGAAACGTGATTCGATCACCAAGTGATCATCTTCAAGGGGAAAATCAAACATTACTACACCATAGGTTCCAGACAGTGCATCACAAACTCATTATTATTCATTCAACTATCCACCAAATTCTAATTTTTTCATTCCTTAATATTCATGGGATAAATTTTTTTGTGGAAACGACCACTCAATTGAAACTATAAATTTTGGTGCTACAGTTTCGTGAGGTAGGATTTTTTTTAGGATATGTTCACTATCTTTTTTGTTTAACTGAATTGTTTTTGACTTTTGTTAACACTGGGCTCAAATTGTATATCACTCTGCGAGAAATTACAAATCGAATGACAATAATGAATCAAAATTGCTGTAAATAGCATCGCATTCACTTTTAACTTACAACTTTTTGAAAATGGGCAAGTGCAAGTATGTACTTTGTTTGAAACAGACATTTTTTTTGCAAAATGGTGTTAGGGACCGACTGGTTCAAGAGTAACCTTCATTAACATTTTTTTTGTAAATTGTTACTTCAAAGTTATTTTTAAGTCATCTAATTTTATTGATTGAATATAGATTATTAGCAATACTGTTTGTTTCTTTTTATTGGTAATTGTTTTGCTAATTTGGAAAGTTGACCATTGCCTCCAATCAGCTTCAATCCTGATTAAATGTTTGCTTATTTATGTGGCTTTCTGTTATTTTGAATCATTAATTATTGCCAAGATATCATTGCAGATGATTTTTCAACTCGATATCTTAGGATTTAATAATTTTCCTATGATACACATTTTCCTTATCTCAGTATTGGCCTCGGTGATTGACCCAGAGACCTTTTAGGTAATCTTTTGAAGTTATCACATGGCAAATAAGTTAATAACAAATGATAGACGTTGTTATTTATTTAAATCAAAGGGAACATTCCCATTCCTTAGAAAGATTTTCAATTGATTCGGAAATATACTCAAAGATAATGACAAATTGTCAAATGCAGAAATAAATTTCAATTGTTATACAATGATGGTATCTGCTTCGTTGCACACCTGTTACAAAACCAACTGGTAAACAAAATATATGCATTTGAATGTATTTAACCAGGCTTTTTTGTTATATTGTTACAAAACTGTTTACTAAGCTATATCACCAACCACTAAACTGTATAAGATCCAACAACTATTTATCAGAGTCGGTAAATAAATACTGAAATCAGTAGAGTTGGTTATGATCAGAAGTGATGATCACAACTTATCATGAACCCACATCTACCAAAACTCAATTTCCTCCTTAAATTACATGCAACCAATTTTCCAGTCAGGCCTGTGGTGTTGTTCACTCGGTCTTTCATAATGACATCATCTGCCATTCAGAAATGACCAAAGCTAAAATCACAAAGTAATAATTCAAACCTATATTAGTCCAGTAGTAAAACAGGAAATTTTAGATTTGCTTTCAATTTGTCTATCGCAAAATTATTTTCAATTTATGTACAGATTTTATTCTTGAGGTAAATAGCTAATAATAAGTCTGCTGAAAATTCAATGGATAACCTACATAGATAGATAGATCTTTATTTGCTCCGGTTACATATAATGTACACATATAAACTTCGAGGAGTGTGGAACATGTTAGTAATAAATAACAAATAGATAACAAATAAAAGCTTTACATACATAATCAACATTGTCACACGTAGTTTCAAGACAAAAAAAAAATAAAATCAGGCATATATAAATAACATTCATATAGTTAGCATACTATCATTTAAGAATTCCTGCAAGCTATAATAAGGTTTTTCTACAAGGTAGTTCTTCAAACGACATTTCATTTGTTGAAATTGGAAGATTTTTTTGAGTGAGTGGAAATTTATTGTAAATGTTTATAACGCTTTATAACGTTTATGTATAGTTGCATTTCTCATTTCTAAGATTATTCATTGTTCTGGTGTTGTATACGTGATATTTTACAGTTAATGAAAAGTTCTGATCTATTTTCTGTTACAAATACTACTGCTTCATATATGTTTAGATTCATCAAAGTTAAAATTTTGGTCCTAATAAAAGTTCTGCAGTTATCGTTTTTTTTTTCATCTTGTAGATTACATATTGGAGTTTCCCCAGAATATAATTCCTTTCTGCATACTATGCTTATATTCAATCCTAGATTGAATATAAGCATGGTATGCAGAGAGGGCAGGTTCGGTTGAGATATGTTCCGACAGTATTCTCAATGCATAGCAATATTTTGAAATATTTTTTGATAAATAGTCTATGTGGATTTTTCCAGTCCAGTCTCCTATCTATCAACCGTCCCAAAAATGTTACCTGATTGCATGTTTATATTTTGAATTTTGATTATTATATTCAAAGGTATTCAACTCTGGCAAGGATCTATTTACGAAATGAATTATTTGGGTTTTGTCAATATTAAGTAGTAGGTCATTTGCTGTGAGGAAATTCTTTAGTACATCTAGCACATTTGTTGTCTTTGTCATGACCAACTGAGAGTACTTTTCTTTTAAGATGACCGATATATCATCAGCATATTATAATACAATAAGTTTATTAACTACATTTGGTATTTCATTTGTGTACAGTATATGTAATAATGCGCCTAGGATGGATCCTTGTGGCACACCTTTTTTCTAATCACAATTGATTCTAATTTAATTATCCCCGAGATGTCATTTTCAATCAAATGTTGGGTTTTGTTTGTCAAATAGGATTTGATTAAGTCCAAAGATGTGCCTTTGATTCCATATTTATCATGTTTTTTGCATAAAATTTCATGGCTGACACTGTCAAAAATGCTTTTGACAGGTCAATACCCAAAGTTACAGTACAATCATCTTTGTTCAAATGATGTTTTTCAGTTTCTTGATATATTGTTTGTATGGTTGATTTACCTTTACGGAATCCATTTTGTTCTTTTGCTAACAACAAATTATCATCTAAAAACTTGAGTAAACGTTTGTTCATGAGCTCTTTAAAAATTTTACTGGGATTTGGCAATAATGATATGGGTCTGTAATTACTTTCTTCATCTCTGTTTCCTTTTTAAATATAGCTTTAATAGATGCCACTTTCAATACTTCTGGGAATACTGCTTGTGAGAAACATAAATTTATAATATAAGTCAAAGGCTATGATCTCTGCTGTTTCTTTCAATAGACACATAGGAATCTGATCTTCACCAAGAGATTTTTTATTTTTCAGTTGTTTAATACATTCTATTATTTCAAGCGGAGTGGTAGGTTCAAAGAAAAAAGCATCATCACATTCTTTAATTTTTGTATAATCTGGGCTATCTGGTTTATTTAGGTCAGAGCAAGCTTCAGTAAAATACTTATTGATTTGATTTACTATGATTTATAATAGCATGATTCATAGATTAGTCAATGTTCCTCTTTCAATAGATAATTTTAATAAAATATTACACATAGAAAATAAAGGTTTAAAGCTACATCATTTGGAAGCAATGGAGATTATTAAACCTAAAAATTCAAACATTTTACTGAACAACCAACTGGATTTGAATAGATAGATAGTACTGATGAAGAATTAATATAATATGCTCTAGATAATCATAATTGAATATATACCTTAGGTATATAAAAGTTGAGTAGATGCTTTAGGTAATTATGATCAAGTAAGTACCTGAGGAGTAATTTAGTATGAAAAAGTTACTGTTAGCAAAACATATAGTGTTTTTTTAATAAAGTTTATAGAGATCAAATCATAAGGCGTAGTTCATGAAACCGTACTTTATATTTTTTCAATAAAATCATTACTTCCAATTATTTTCAAGGCCTTTGGAGCAGTTGAAGCAATGTCAGATAGAGTGTGTATCCATTCTGAAGGTTCTGTCAATTTCCATTTTTCTGCCGATGATCTTGTGTCTTGCTGCTGGACATGCGGAATGGGATGCAACGGAGGATTTCCAGGAGCTGCCTGGAACTACTGGGTACGAAAAGGGCTGGTATCTGGAGGACCTTATGGATCAGAACAAGTAAGTTAGTCAAATATGTAGGTTAAAATTCAATAAAACTTGATTGCAATGACTTTTTCTTAAAAAACATTTTCTTCATCAAAGCTGAACCTTAATATTATTTAAAAGATTTTTTTTTGTGGAGGACTCAATATTTTTTATTTTTTTTACATATAACCACTATGTGAAAAATAAACTAAGAGAAACATAAACGTTAACCGAATTTTCATAAAAACATCTAGTGTATGTATTCATGTAGACTATCGCATATGATAACTGTAAATTTCATTATTTTGACGTGTCAAAAAAAATACAGCTATTCACAATTGAGGCAAGAGTGTTAAAGTAAAATATACCACTAAAAAACTAAGTATAGAAATTTAATTTTTATAAATTGTTCTGTTCAATTTGTAGACAAAATCGATAAGTACAACAGATTACTGACTAATTGGACTTTTCAATGGTTTATATTATGCAGTAACTTTTTGGGGTAAACTTTCAAGTTTACTCTTTATTACACTTCAACAGATTCTCAATTTATTCAACGTTGTTTATTTTTATGAATAAAGATGCATAGGGCAATGTATTTTTAAGAAAACACATTTTTATCAAATAAAAATTATTCATTTTTCATTCATTAAAAACGTGTTGAATTTGAAAAAAAATAAATAAATCAGAAGATATCAGTCAATTGACAGTTTAATGGCACAAATTAGTAGACAGAATTGGAAAATTAACATGTAGGTATTTCTGTTGAAGGTTAGCATTTTGTTTATGAAATGATGTAAAATATCAAACAAGGTTAATATGACTAATATTAGCTTATGTAATTTCACTTATTAAAGTAAGTTATGCTATATAATGTATTATACTGGAGTTTCATCCCAACACCGAGCACGTGTTTCAATCACCAATTGATCATCTTCAAGAGGAAGATTGAACATGTGTCGAGGTGTTAAAAAATAATGATTTGGTGTTGAAATAAAATTCCACTAATATTTATTACTACACCAACGGTTCCAAACTGTGCATTACAACTATATAATGTGTTAAAAATTCAACCAGGCAACTGAGTTTTCCTATTGAACTTGTGATGGATGGTTTATTGACAAATTTTGTCAGTCTTCACGATAAGATAATATAACAATTCTTGTGAAAATTTTGATTGGATACCATTTCATTATTTTATTTTCACTTTTGTTGCTTCTTGCATCAGTTCAAGAAGTTGATGAACCTGTTCATCTCTGAATTGATCCAACTCTTTCTCTGATAAAGGAACTCCTAATTTCTTGGCACTAATCTGGGAACCTCTAGGTCCACTACAACCTCTCTGGGGACCTCTAAGCCCCAGCTGCTCTGCCAGGATGAGTGCATAATTCTGAAATTAAAAAACTACATGTTCCACATATGGTACATGTTTCAAGATAGAACTCACTGTCCATTCGATAATAAATACTTCAGCTTCTTTTTCACTGCAAACCTTGTGCCTCTTGAATTCATCCCTGGTATAATTTGTCCCTATTATTTGTAGTTCCTCTGGGAGACCTCTGTGAAGTTTGAGTATTGTTTTGTATAAAATCCTCGCTCTTTGAATATTCGAATAATTCATTCTAAAGATATATGTATCTTCACAGGTAAGATTTGATCATTTTTCACTCATCACACCCATATTAACTGGTTAAAAATAGTAAAAATGCCAATCCAATAGTTTGATCAACACTCAGTTTTTAATCCATATCTGTCAGTCTCCTGTTGTCATTGTCATTTTTGTTTTTAATCCATATCTGTCAGTCTTCTGTTGTCATTGTCATTTTCATCAATGTCATTATAGCCAATATAATCATCTTGAATTCACAATAGGAATTTATTGTTTTGTGTCGGATCATATATAACTTTATCTCATTGGAATAGTTTTTTTAACTTTGTTGATTTTCTATTCAAAAAGCCTTTTTAGTGTCTTAGTTCCATATTAGAACACACCAGTGAATCCATCTTATGGAGATGATAATCAACGTGACACACGTCAAAAGGATGGCCGCTTTTTTTAGTCGTAGTCATTACGTCATCAGCGACACAATAGTAAACAATCAGAAGAGGCACTCAAAAAGCGGTGCCTCTGATTTGAAAAAGTCGATTTCGGTGACCTTCGCCATTGTGTGATTACCAAATAAGGCGGTGATATCGACGGGCCAGGACGGATCCAGAGAAACAAACAGTTTGAGTTGAAATTACAGACTTTCGACGTTTTGTCCTTCAGAATTTCCAAAACGGTTTGTTCTGTGTCGTTTGTCTGCTTCAACCTATTAGAAAATCGTCTCTCAAGGAGATGACAATCTGTCTGTTCAAAAAAAAAAACATTTAAATTTTACTATGCTTGGGAATGGCAATTCTGATTTGTCAGTGATGCTTTTGCAGAAAGATGCACATTTAAAACCTCGTTTTTAAAATGTCGAAGTAAAAGTTTTTTTGTTTTGTTTCTCATATCAGTGAAAATTCATTTCATTTCAAGTTTTTCACTTTCAGAATAATATATTACAACATATATTAACGTCAGGAAAATGGAAAAAAAAATTATGTTGTTTCTTGTCTGACAATGTATCTGCAATTTTCACTTTGAAATGATGAATTTGAAATACCTTATTATAAACAAAAACGATTTAACTTTTCTCTCTTTCATTCATTCATTTATGTTGAATTCTGTTATGCCTCGAGGGTCACTCACTCTTTGCCCTAAGAAAGATCATTGGATTCGAGCAATAGAAAAGGAAATTGAATATCTGAATGAAATCGAACTTGGATTATGAAAAAACTGCTACCTAGTAGGAAAGCGATTCTATGTAAATGGGATTATAAAAAGGAACCGAATAAAGGATGAAAACTACGATGGAACCTTCAGCTCTGTATGAACAAAAGGTAGTAGCAGGGGAGCTGTTCTCAGTATTGCTGCTAGTAGGAAAAGATACTCTCGCCAAGTTTGATATTACTAATGCATTATGCATTCGATTCCATGAAACTTAATTTCCAGAAAAGTAATTCAAATCCATGTTTATACATGAAGAAACATGGAAATAATATAATAATTTCAGTCCTTTACGTGTATTTTATGAAATTAGTGAAATAGCATTCACTATGAAAAAGCTACCGTGATAGCGAAACATGTCGTGATATAATTTTTGAAAATAAAGTTTGTGAAGATCAAATCTTAGGGTGTATTTCATTAAATTACTGTGGATCTTCACGAAGTAACCCGAATTAATTAGAAAAAAACGTGTTATTTTTATGAAATAGAAATATTTATTTAATGTAAACAATGAGACATGTATACATTCGTCTAAATAGTGATGTGGATCACATAATATTAGTAAAATATAATAAAATAGTGTAAAATATGCTTCATATGATGAACATACAAGTAAGAAGGTACATATTAAAAACAAGAAGTATGAACATGTTGAAACCAAAGAACAGGATAGTAATCCTAATGAGGAAGAGGATTACCTACTCACTTGCACATGTAACTACATAATCCCAATAATCATTTACGGAGTAAAAACAGTGCTGTTACGGATCTTAAATTTCATTAGTTCGGATTTCCGTTGTCTAATATTATATAAAATGATTTGAAATCCCTTGAAGAACCAATAAAAAAGAAAAGTTGAAAAATAACAATTATATCAAGCAAAAAAACCCAGTAAAATAAAATACAAGTAAAAGTAGAAAAACTTTGAACAAAAAATAAAAAAAGCGATTCCAAACCAAGTTACTTCACGACGTTTCGATTGTTAGTATCCACAATCGACTTCGGGTGATGACTGGAATAATTCCTCCGAGAGATGACTGTTTATGGGTCATTCGAGTACTTTAGCTCATCTCCGCTTTCCTCTTTGCACTTCACTGGTTTGGTGGGAGATGACCGTTTGGCGGGAGTTGGCCATTTTTGCACTGCTATTCCCGATTTGCTGGTTTCTTCTTGCTGTGTGTGTTTCTTGTGCTCGGAAATGCGAACTTTCAATGGCCTCTGCTTTCACCGATATAGGATTTTCCGCACTCGCAGGGTATCCGGTAAATGCAACTCTTGGAATCGCAGTCCGCGTTTGGTGGCCTGATTTTCGTGAGGCTGCTATGGATAGGGTTTCCGGATCTGACACAGGTTCTGATGTTGTACCTGGACCCAGTTCTTTTTATCCTTTCCGATAATACTCCGATGTAGGGAAGTGCAAGCACTGGTTGTGACGGTTTCTCTTCCTTGCGAAGCTCCTGCTGTCTTTTAGCCAAAGTCTGTTCCACCATCACTTTGGAGTAGCCATTTCGTTGAAGTTCATATGTTGCGTATTTCTACGCTAGCTTGGCTGAATACATTGTTGGACAACATGTATGCGGCTTCTTTGAATTTCCTCTTGAACCAGTGTTCCTCCATGTGTATGATCTCCGTTGATCTTCAACGGAATGGCTATTCCAAAGTGATGGTGGATGTTTTTTACATAAAGAAGGCACTCCATAAAGTAGCAACATGGTAATGGCGAGATGCTTAATTTCCTGAACAGTGGTTTACAGTGACATGTGTTTCCCGAGGTTATCAAGGCATACGTCATTATGCTATGGAACATAGCAAAATATGCCAGTATTGGACGGTCGGTATCCACATTCAGCTTCTGTTTCCCGAGAGCGTGAGTAGCTATCGCAAGGCGATTAGATAGATCCTTAATATGAGGAGCAAAACTTAGTTTATTATCCTAAAAGCTCGAAGTGGTCCTCAGATGGTGCTCATAAAAATACTCTGTTTTTTGATTCATTAAGGAATAAATAATTACAATTGAACCAGTTTTTTGATAATTCTTTTGCATGGTTGAGAATTTGTGTAATGCGTTGTTTTCGTGGGATTCACTAGTTATACCAGTTGATTCTCTAAGGTGGCTCACCCGTATAACTTTTTTATTATTGGAGATAGAAAAACGAAATTTGTGGGTTTTGTATTATAGTTTGATTCACATTTTTTGACATGTTTACTCACTTTGCCGTACTTTCAGTTTGACCGGAAATGACCCCAACTTTCGATTTTTAAATGGGACATCCTATATATTTTTACTTATTTTGGTCGAAAATGACATTCTTAATCCAACAATACTTCACTTGTCAATATTTAAAAACTAACATCATTTTTATTCCAATTTTTATTTTCTGATCTAGAATGTCATGGATCATGTAAATCGCTTCATTCTTGATCAAGTTGTACCCTTTTTTTTTGGTTATTCTTTGTGCCTACGNTTTTTACTGAGTTAAAATCCATTACATGTCCATTATTATAAACATGTTCACTAAGGGCACACCTTTCTGGATGAAGTCTACAATCACTTTTGTTCGCAGATATTCTGTCTTTTAATAATCTGGCAGTCTGACCAATGTATTCAGCACTGCAACTTAAACAGGGAATACTATAAACTAATTGAGATTGAAATTTTATTGGGATTTTATTTTTTAAGTTTGAAAAAAGGGAATTAATTGTTAAAATAGGTTTATGTGCAATTTTTATATTATCAATATTTTTGAAAATTCGTATGGTTTGGGTGTAATTTCACTGGTATAAGGTAAGGAAGTAAAAAGATAATTATTTATCTGAATTTCATTATTATTATTATTATCATTGTCCTGACTTGGAGAGATTGAAGGACGAACGTTATGATTTATTTCATTAGGGGACGTGTTAAACTATATATTGTTTATTAAGGTTTTAGGATATGAATTTTGTAAGAAGGATTTTGTCTGTTCCACCATCACTTTGGAGTAGCCATTTCGTTGAAGTTCATATGTTGCGTATCTCTACGCTAGCTTGGCTGAATACATTGTTGGACAACATGTATGCGGCTTCTTTGAATTTCCTCTTAAACCAGTGTTCCTCCATGTGTATGATCTCCGTTGATCTTCAACGGAATGGCTATTCCAAAGAGATGGTGGATGTTTTTTACATAAAGAAGGCACTCCATAAAGTGGCAACATGGTAATGGCGAGATGCTTAATTTCCTGAACAGTGGTTTACAGTGACATGTGTTTCCCCAGATTATCAAGGCATACGTCATTATGCTATGGAACATAGCAAAATATGCCAGTATTAGACGGTCGGTATTCACATTCAGGTTCTGTTTCCCGAGAGCGTGAGTAGCTGTCGCAAGGCGATTAGATAGATCCTTAATATGAGGAGCAAAACTTAGTTTGTTATCCAGTTTGTTATCCTGAAAACTCGAAGTGGTCCTCAGATGGTGCTCATAAAAAGACTCTGTTTTTTGATTCATTAAGGAATAAATAATTATAATTGAACCAGTTTTTTGATAATTCTTTTGCATGGTTGAGAATTTGTGTAATGCGTTGTTTTCGTGGGATTCACTAGTTATACCAGGTGATTCTCTAAGGTGGCTCACCCGTATAACTTTTTTATTATTGGAGATAGAAAAACGAAATTTGGGGGTTGTGTATTATAGTTTGATTCACATTTTTTGACATATTCACTTACTTTGCCATACTTCCAGTTTGACCGGAAATGACCCCAACTTTCGATTTTTAAATGGGACATCCTATATATTTTTACTTATTTTGGTCGAAAATGACATTCTTAATCCAACAATACTTCACTTGTCAATATTTAAAAACTAACATCATTTTTATTCCAATTTTTATTTTCTGATCTAGAATGTCATGGATCATGTAAATCGCTTCATTCTTGATCAAGTTGTACCCTTTTTTTTTGGTTATTCTTTGTGCCTACGGTTTCTCAGTATTTTTTTGAG